TAATCAAAGTGGAAGTTCTCTCCTCCCTTCAGAGAAAGGTACCTCCTTCTTTGATGGCCCGATCTTTCTGCTGGGATCTCACTCACAGAGATCTTTCATTTAGGTAATTTTTTTTTGCCAGAGTGTCTTGGCTTTCCATGCCTGAGAAACTCTCACAGGCTTTTTAGCTGGATCCGAATGCCTTAAGGGCTGATTCTGAGGCCAGAGTGCTGTTTAAAACTATGACAAAGCTTAAAATAGCTCAAAAAATAGCAATTTGCCATGTCATTCTTCCTCATCCTCATATTCTTCAACCTAATTTTTTAGTTATTTCTTCTGGTATTCTTCTTTATAAATTTTAAATTTCTGAAAATATTTCATCAATTCCAATTTTAGACACATGTGTTTACTTCTTATTTTGGAAGATTAGTTTTTAGTTCTCTTACCTAAAGGGCCTCATCACTTTTTCTCTTCTATTTGTGACCTAAATATTGGAATTCCAGACATCTTTGGATACCATTTGATTTCAATAACTTTGATTTTTTTCTTACTAGAGAGAGATTTTGCACAAATTTATTTGTCAATATAAAGATCATAATGACTAGACTATTCAGAGCAGAGTCATGGGGTCTGTTGTTTCAGTTTTCTTATGTCTCAAACTGTTTCCAGAAGGTCACTGATCTGGTGTGGATGGTCTGATATGGATGCATTCACATGCCTAACACCTGGGAAGGAATAGCCTGGAAAATGGGATAAACTGGCCCCCTTTCTCTCTTTATTTTGTCTCTTGGTTTCTCTTTTTTTTTTCACTTTAAATTACCTTTTTTTAACTTTTATTTAATGAATATAAATTTCCAAAGTACAGCTTATGGATTACAATGGCTTCCCCCTCCCGCAACTTCCCTCCCACCCGCAACCCTCCCCTTTCCCGCTCCCTCTCACCTTGAAAATAAAGAACAATGCCTATTGATTCAGTGATTCAGACATGTGAGGGACATAGAATAACTGCTTTTTTTTTTTTTTAATACAAGTATGGGGTGTGTATGAATGAAGTTCTTTCTGTGCTCTGTTTTGGGAGTCTGTTAAATCAGAGTTAAAATTGTCCTCAGTTAGAAGAGAGGGGGAATCAAGGACACCCCATTCCTGCATTATCCTGAACTTATAGGTGAGTGGAAGAGGAGCTGGTAGAGATGAAGTGCACACACTACTAGCTAACACATGTCCCTCAGACCTCATGGGCATGCAGGTTCATTTATTCTCTCTGACTCATCAGATCTTCATCATGAGTGTCTACCATCTACACTGGATGGTAAGGGAGAAAACACTAGATTTATGTCATCTGATGCTACCCTATGAAGGGTTCATTTGTATAAATGCTCAATGTGTTTTGGTGAAAATGATCAGTTTCTCAGATATTCCCCCTGCCTTGTTATTCTTTTCCAAGATAGGGAAATAGCATGAAGCAAAACTTGCCATCATCTTTAGTTATCTCCGTTAACTATTTCTAATCTTATTTGAATAGTAAAATTGAGTACAATAAAAGTGTGTGTTCATATTATACTTAATGCTGATAACTCAGAAGATACAGCTATTTTTATTAAACCAACAATATTAACCTAGTATTTGATTTTTAGATTTATTGAAGACATGTGAACCTGAAAATCATTTGAGCTAATTTCTTTAATTTTTTTTTCATTGAAATCATTTATTTGAGAGGCAGAGAGAAAGAGCCCCCATCTGAAGTTCACTTTCCAAATGTCTGCAATGGGAAGGGATGGACCAGGTCAAATCCAGGAATTGTGAACCCAATCCAGGTCCCCAACATGGATGGAAGTGTCCCATCCACTTAAGCCATCACTTACTGCCTCCCAGAGTACATAGTGGCAGGAAGCTGGAATCAGGAGTAGAGTTAAGATTGAAACTCAGGCCCTCCAATTTGGGATGTGGGCATACAAATTAGTATCTTAACTGCTAGGCCAAACACCTGTCCTGGGTTATTTCTATAATTCTTGGAGTTTTAGGAATATTTAACTTACATAAGCACTCATTTATCTCTAAGCCCATTTGAACGGATCTCCATTAAGAATTTTCTAAGTTCATTTAGCAATACATTCTGGATGTAGAAAATCATTATGTATATACACATATATACATACATAAACATTTTTAAACAAATAAACAGATGCGAACATTGATCTTATAGGTTTCATTTGAAAGTTTAATCATGAATCAAGCAATACAGTAATACAGAATTTACTAGTTTATCTTATAGTAATATAAAATAAATTTATTTTATTTTTAACTGACAAATAGAAATTATATATATTTATCATGTACAACATGATGTTTTAGATACCTATATTTATTCTATATCATGGTTACTATGCATAGTGCTGCTGTAAATGTGTGAATGCATACATCTCTTGGACATGCTGATTTCATTGTCTTTAGTATATCCAGTAGTGAGACTTCTGGATTATAAAGTAGTTCTATTTTTAACATTTTTAGAAACCTCCATACTATTTTCCACAATATCTGTATTAACTTATATTCACACCAACAGTGTTCCATGGTTTCTTTTTCTCCACATCCTTGCGGGTCCTTGTTCTCTTTGGTCCTTTTCATAATAGCCATTCTAACAGTTCTAAGGTAATTGTACTTTTTATTTTTATCTGAATTGTGTTTATTAAAAAACAGGGTAAATTGAGATTACCGACTCAATAAGGGCTAAAGCTTTGAGTTACAAATATTTGTGAGGAAGACATTTGAGATTTTTGTTTTGCTTTTACATGTAAGCTCATTGAGGCTCTGGAGTAGAGGTGGCATCAAACAGCTGTTTGGAGGTCTCCAAAGCTGACCCAAATGGGTAAAGTATTCCATCTGTTTCCAATTACCATGTTTTCTTTTTAGCATCATAAAGTGCTTTTGTGGTATCCTAAGTCCCCTGAGATTCCCTGATGGGGACAGGGGGCCTAAAGTTCAATTAACTGTAGGGAGTTGAGGGAGCTCAGTGGGAAGGGAGCAGTTTAGCAGGGGAGGACAGAGTGATGCAGGTGGTGAGGGTTTGAAGGGGGCCATATCAAAGAATTCAAGGAAGCTAAAGAGAAGATCAAAGGTGATAAGAGGAGGAAGTTGGAGAGAAGGTGATGGGAATTGAGAGGTTTTAGAAGAGCCAGTTTGGGTAGATGTTCAGTTTTCCAAAGAGGATATTAAGGTTCCAAGGTATCCACAACAAAATCACATCAACAAGGAAGAGGAAGGGTGGGCATTTAGCTTAGCAGTTAACATGCCCAAGTCTCACACTGGAGTACCTGGGTTTGACTACTAGCTCCTGACTCCAGCTTCCTATTAATTCAGACCCTGGGAAGCAGCAGTGGATACATAAAGTAGTCGGGCTGCTGTCACTCACACGAAAGAATTGGGCTGAGTTTCCAGCTCCAGGCTTTGACTCCAATCCAGCTCCAGACCTTGCCGGAATCTGGGGAGTGAACCAGCAGATTGGAGCTCTATCTGTCTGTCTGCCTCCCTCCCTCTACCTCTCTGCCAAGCAAATACTTTTTTCTTAAAAAACGAGACAGAGTTGGCACAGCATGTAGTGAGCAGGAATTCAAGAAGGGGGTTATAGCTGAGAAGCACCCATGGGAGAAACAGTATCAAATAGAGAAAAGAGAGGCTTCACAAAGAGCCAGGAAAAAAATTCTATCCCAGAAGTAAAAAAGTGGATCCCAACTGGAAACAAGAGTCCAGAGGAATTTTCTAGTCCAGGGCAAGGCCCAAGAATCAGGGAATAAATTATCCCCACTTCAAACAAAGAGCCAGAAAAACTTACAGTCCAGTAGATACTTTTCAAATGAAGAAGCCTTGAACTCTAGCCCAGCTGCAGAGAGTATACTCAGAATGTTTTGTTTAAAAATATTTTTATTTAGTTGAAAGCCTGAGAGGGAGGAAGGGAGGGAGAGAGGGAGAGAGACAGAGAGAGACAGAGAAAATCTTCCATCTGCTGGTTCATTCCGCAAATAACCACAACATCCAGGTCTGGGCCAGGCTGAAGCCAGGAGCCAGGAACTCCCTGTTGGTCCCCTACATGGGTATCAGAATCCCAAGTACTTGGGCTATTTATCTTGTGCCTTCCAGTACACATTAGCAGGAAGTTGAACCTAAAGTGGAGTAGCCAGGACTCAAACCTGTACTCCAATATAGATGCTGGAATCATAAGTGGTGGCTTAATCTGCTGTGCCACAACATTGGCACCGAACTCAGAATCTTTTTTTTTAAATTTTTTTATTTTTTTTATTGTTTTTATTTTTTTTGACAGAGTGGACAGTGAGAGAGAGAGACAGAGAGAAAGGTCTTCCTTTGCCGTTGGTTCACCCTCCAATGGCCGCCGCGGCCAGCGCGCTGCGGCCGGCGCACCATGCTGATCCGATGGCAGGAGCCAGGAGCCAGGTGCTTTTCCTGGTCTCCCATGGGGTGCAGGGCCCAAGCACCTGGGCCATCCTCCACTGCACTCCCTGGCCACAGCAGAGGGCTGGCCTGGAAGAGGGGCAACCGGGACAGAATCCGGCGCCCCGACCGGGACTAGAACCTGGTGTGCCGGCGCCGCTAGGCGAACTCAGAATCTTAAGAATCAAAATCTGTTCTTACCAGCTTCAGTGGATATTTGCCCAGAGCAAATGGTTCAGGAGTTTGACTCACCAATGGATTCCTGATCAATCAGACAGGAGTAAGGAGAAAGGCTTCAATGTGTGCATTTAGGATCCTGAATGCTTAGTCCAGGGATTCAGTGATGAATCTGATCCTATGTGAGTTGCAGATGCCACAGCTATTCAAAAATATATTTATGAAACTACTTAAAGAGTGGTAAGCATGACTTTATTCTGAACCATGGAATAGCTGTGGAGACTATGCGGTAGTGTTCTGCAGCAGGGGAGAGACTGGACTGGACTCCAAAAACAAGGGTAACAGGGAATTTGTTGCTAAGAATCAAAGTGGGGGGGGGGTCAGCATGAAGAAACTAAGGAAACATGAGGAAACGAAGAGAAAGTATGAGGGTAAGGAGGGATTCTGGCTGAGGTGAACTAAAATGATTCTTCCTGAAGGCAGGCCAGGGTGATCATGTGGAGAATGTACAACCCAATTGAATATCAAGGTCATCAGATAACCAGGATGGGAGTTGCTAGCTGAACTGATTGAGCAACCAGCACTCTTGACAAAATTAGAAAATGTAGAGAGCAAAGGAGAAGCCTCAAGGTCCGGACATAGTTTAGAAGAGGATTGAGAGGTGCCTGACTAGAGTTTGGGCAAAGGGAAAATCTTTGTCAAGGGCCTGGCTTCAATTAGGATCCTGTCACAACCCCTAAAGGGGCAGCAGCAGAGATTAGGAGAGCACACCAGCATTCTTGGAAGGTGGTGAAAATTCCTATGTAATTGCATGTTTTCTCAATGAATTATCAGTGAAATATGACAGGAGTTGTTGGTGGTTTTCGGAGTGCTCATGTAGGTACAGGAGAGAGAAGATACAGTTGTGGAGGTTACCCAAAGCTTGTCCATCACTGGGATGTTGCCAGAAGGGTATGGAGGAAGGAGAAAGGAGCAGAGGAGGTGTGTTGAGTGGGAGAGTGTATGGTTATATTCTGGGTTACGAAGAGTCTGGTGGATGGCGAGTATGAGGTGTGGTGGGTGAACTGGAGGCCTCCATGAGGTTTAAGGCAGGATGGATGATGGTGTTGGGGGCAAGTAATGGACATCATAGAGCTGCATGGTCTTGCCTGAAGCCCAGGGCAAGACTGTGAGTGGACTGTGATGGCGAGACGAACATCCATGAAGTAGAGCTCAGATGTGACGTGTGGGCACTGAGGTCTCCAGAAAGGACCAAAGGGATGATGACTGAGACAGACACTGAGTGTATTACGTGATAAGCGTGCTCACAGAGTGCGGTGCATGAGGGGATTGGTACAGGTGTCCAGCGAGGAGCGGTGGAGGAGGCTGGGACAGTCGGGCAGCAAGTCCTGGACATCACAGGTCCCATCCTCTAGGGCTACCGCGAAGTAAACTGGCAGTCTGACGCCGAAGTGCAGACTGGCAACGACGTCACTCGGCACCGACGCGCAGGCCCAGAACCCTCCAATCAGCGTGTAGTCCCGCCCGCACGCTCGCGTTTTTCCTGTGGCGCGGGGACTTGGCTGCTGTTGCTATGGTTCCGAGGGTGGGACCAGGGAAGGCTTCCGCGCAGAGGACGGGTCGCCGGAGGGCCAGCGGCCGGTACCGAGCCAGCATCTGGTCGGAGCTTTCATCCTGCTGGACGTCCCTAGCCGACATCTTCGAGCTCTCTGCAGAAAAGCTGCGGAAAAGAAGGCTTTTCCTCTGGTATTGGTGGCACTCGGTCTCTCTGGCCTGTAGATGGCAAAGATGCTCTGTAGAGCAACCCTGTCCGTAGACTGACCCCGCCCTTTGTGCTTGAAAAAACTCCGGGGAATCTTTTTCTAGTGAAGAAGCTGCTTTTTTTTTTTTTTAATTTTTAAAATTATTATTATTTTTTGTCCTTGGCAACTAGGTACCGGTGCTGGGGAGGTCCCTTGGGAAGATGCACCTTCTGAGGCCAAAACGATTTTGCTTTTCAAGTGAACTTCTGCGAGTCTGTCTATATACCCTAGCAACTTGTACTTCTGTTCTCTGAAAGGTCTTGCCATTTTCTTTCACACACGTTGTCCTGGGCTTTATGGCAGTTATTAAATGCATTGTCGAAAATTTGAAAGACCAATAATATAAAGAAAGGTAATCCTACAGTCTCATCACCCAAAGATAAACTTTAATGATTCTTTTTAATACATTTTCTTGGAGGTTTTTCATTCATAAAGGTATATTTTAAATAAAGTGAAGTTAATATTGTTTTATGACCTAAATATCAAACTTTTGAAACAGTTTACAACTTGGAAAATCATATGTTTTAGTTATTTTTTGGTTTTAAAAAATGAAGTATATGTTAAAATTATTAAAATTTCAGTAAAATTAGGCCAAAACATGGTAACTCATGTTCCACATGTTACAGACTCCCTCCTCCTTGTTATTTTTAGAACCAAGTGGCTCTAAAAAAAAACTATACTTACTATAGAAACCAGTTCCCATACGTGAGAAAAGATAGTGTGTGCCTTCTGAAATTGCTTTTAAGTTATAATTCCTGTGTCTTAAAACAATCTTACCTTGCAGTTGTGATTTGTTAATCCCTGAGGGCCTAAGATAACAGTGTGCTCCTGAAAACTGCCTCTTTACTGCCTTTCTAAATTTAGGGTATAAAAGTAAGGAGAGACAAAGGATCAGAGCTTGAGTTTTGAGACAGGAGTCTAGTCAAGCCAACATGTGTAAATAAACTGCCTTTCCTCCTGAAGCCTTGAGAGCTGTTTGGTTTCAGTGGTCTTTGTAACATTGGCTTCTCTGACAGGGAAACCAACTGTGCTGGCCCCTTGAGCCACTGGTTCAGGGCGTGGATGGAGCGACAGGATGGACGACTAGACGCCTCTCCCAAAACTTAAGGGAAAAGTCCTCCAGGCAACAGGGATTTGCACTGTGTCAGCCACTGCTCCCGACCTGGACTCAAGGAGACTCAGGATGATTGGACCTGGAAACTTCAGACAAGATTAAGAATCCCCTGGGACTGGAGTCTGAGACAGGCCTACCCCACTGAGCAGAAGGAGGGCCTAATGACTCCCCAAGAAATCTACTTTTTGCTTTCCTGGTAAGGACTAGCCCTCAGAGGGAAAGAATGTTTTAAACTCTGTGTGAGAAGTGTGTGAATGAGTGCTGGTCCTGCATGTGTTGGCGATTATAATCTGTTGACCCATGGCACAGGCTGTGGGTTATGAGTGGGCCTGAAACTGCAGTTCTATGGTGATCCTCATATGGTCAAGGGTCACATCAGTACAGGGGACTAGACTCCGGACAGACCCTGATTTATGTGGAGTGTCCTCTCCAGAAAACCTCAGGAGAGTGAGAGAAATCTTGCTGACCCTTTGCAGGCAGAAGGAAACCTTGGGAATGCCCAGAGCTGGTCCTTCTAGTCTGATAAATGGGTAATACTCCCCCCATATTCTGCCTTGCCTTGCTGGAATCCTGTCTCCTCATCAGGTCACAGGTGAGGGGTGGCTGAGTGTAGGTAAACTTTGTCTACTACTACCTCACTGTGAGATCAGTGAAACACGGCTCCCACAGCCCAGAGCTTGAATATTTCTAGTAAGAAAAAGTAAGAAGTAGGCCTCCAGGATACTGGGGATTCCTTTCACACTCAGACCTTGATCTAAAGATCAACTCAAGAAAATACTAGGAGAACTGAGTCTTAAGAAAATTAGCCTCTAGAATGTTAAAAAGGACTGTCTTAATTCTGGACTGAGTCTCTGACCTTGGGTCTTTCCAGCTGGATCCCTGGAATTCTCACATTATGAAACTCAAACATGGCATGAAATTGGAATCATTTTTCATAACCCAAGGTTATGAACCAAACTTCTGCTCTGCTTATATTAGTGTTAGGTAGGAAGTCAGATATGAGCTTATGTGTGTGTGACAGGCCTAAAGAGAAGATGTCTATGTCCAGCATATGTATCTGCATCTCAAAGTCATCCTGATAACATTTCAGGGGCAGCCCAGTGTTCGTTTGCATCCTGCTCTGCCCCCTCCTACCCGATAACCTGCCAGGTGGGGGTCCCCGCCCCTTCTGCCTGATAACCTTCCAGGTGCAGCCCAGTAGCTGCACTTCAAATGCCCTTCCTGCCCTTCCTCTAATGAGGACAGCACCAGCTAGGCTTCCTCCTGTCTGATCCCTTCAGGGGAAAGCTCAGGAGTTTCTTAGTATTTACATCCATAAAGTCTTTTGTTTCATGAGATGTGTGAAGACAAAGACCCATCTCCTTAAAAACCCCCGGCTTCAACTGGACTGCACGCTCAGCCTTCTGCCTCTCTGCTGAGCCGCCTGCCTGGCCTGGTCAGGTGTATTCTCCACTCAACCATGTAACCTCGCTCGTCCCCGAGCACGAGCAACTGGGCATGCATTCTCAGGTTCTGTCTGGAGAGGTGCCCATCCGTTCTTACAGATGTCCCTTCACTAATAAACTTTGCTATTTTACTCTCCACTACTCTCTGTCTCACGCCTGAATTCTTTCTTGCGCGAAGACAAGAACCCTGCCATTCACCGGTAACTTAAGGGCCTAAAGGATTAAAACTGACTCCCCTCCTCTCTGCCTGTAGTTTCTTTGGGAAAAAGAGAAAGAGAGAGACAGAGACAGAGAGACAGAGAGAGAGACACACACACAGAGAGACAGTGTAGACGTTTTTCCCTCTCTTTGATGTGTGGTGTGTTATCTCCATTCCTTTGCTCAGAGTTGGGAAGAGAAAGGTCTCCTGTCTCCCAACCTTGGGCAGAGATACTTAAAAGTTACTTGAATGTAGGTTGGTAATCTCTGGTGGGTGTGGTGGAATGAGAAGGCCATGCCAAGGTGGCCGCTGGCAAGGGAGTGTCAGTTACTCAGGAATGGCTTTGAAACCCACCTGGCAATGGAGCCTGCCTGGCAACAGGCTGCGATTGGATAGCTTTGAATCCCACCTGGCAATGGAGCCTGCCTGGCAACAGGCTGTGATTGGATGGCTTTGGAAACTGCCTGGCAACAGGCTGTGATTGGTTGTGGCATAGACCGCCCCTTGACCAGATTGGCTGGTCTTGGCTATATAAACTGTTGTACCAACTGAAATAAATGAGTTTGTGGGCTGCTTGCCTCAAGCCCGCTTTCACCTGACTCCTCCTGGGGTCTGTGTGGTGACTCCGCACCTCTTGCCCCCACCACGCTCCTCCTCTCAGAAAGGAATCCACTGCAACATTGTTGAGAAATAAACTGCAACATTTGTGCTTTTCACCCCTGACACACCAACCCCTGGCCTACAATCACCCTTAGAACCTTTCAGCTTCCTGACATACATTTATTTCAGAGACAGTCCCAGGTATCTGACTGTTGACTAGGTGTTGGCCTAAGGCACTTGTTAGTAAAAATACTAGGCTCAAATTCAGTCTAAAGAGACAATAACAGTAACAATCTCATGCATGAAAATTTGGTTCCACTTAACTGGACATTGGGTTTAAAGGGGTTTCTCCCTTTTGAATCTGGGAAGATAATTTCCTTAAAAAATTGCTTTTGAACTTGCAAAACTTGTTTTGTGACTTGGTATAACTAATCTGGATGAAATAGCAATGGGTGATCAGTGCTTGTTATAGACCCTGAGAAGGATTTTGCAATCTTCTGGTTTATGTCACTGATTTCCAGCTACAGTTCTTACAAATAGGAGTAGAATTACATATAAATTTTGACCTTAATTCAGATAAAGATATGATATAACATCAGCATCTTAAGTCATCTAGGTGTAATTGCTAAATGTAAATTGGCAAAGGTAAATTAGTTAAATGTGTCTAAATGTAAACCTAAGTGCTTCTAGCACCCTATATTCTATGCAAAAACTTTGGGTTTGTTAACAAGCTTGTTTTCATAAACTGTCCACATATGAAAAATAATTCAAGACTGCTTGAAAGTAACTAAGGTTAAAATATGAAAATATCTTGATTTGGAGATTTTTAAAGGATTATTTCAGTGTAAGTGAAGGAAATCAGCAGATGGAAAAAGGTCACAAGTATAAAAAATGTGTTCTTGGTAAGTAAGGTTAAGAAGGAAAGAGACTTTTTGAGTAAAGACAGGACATGGTTTGTAAGAATTACTAATGCTTAATTTACTCTAGACATGAATGGGATGATAATCAGGTTTAAGTAAGTTGCAGAAGGTGTGAGGAAGTCACAGAGGATTATGAAAGGAAGAAATTTCTGGAGACAAAAACTATTAATCTATTTTTTCTTTGACATAGAATTAGAATCTGATCCTCTGTTAAAGCAATGAAGATTTTACAATACATATATGTCAGTAATTATGTTGAAATAGTCTTGAAAATATGTTTAAAAACTGCAGCATCTCCTTTTTTAAGATTTTATTTATTTATCTGAGAGAGTTATACAGAGAGAAAGGCCTTCCATCCACTGGTTCACTCCTGAAATGGTTGCAACAGCTGGAACTGAGCCAATCTGAAGCTAGGGGCCAGGAGCTTATTCCAGGTCTCCCATATGGGTGCAGGGACCCAAGAACTTGGGCCATCTTCTACTGCTTTCCCAGGCTGTAGGAGAGAGCTAGATCAGAGAGGAGCAGCTGGGACTAGAACCAGTGCCCAACTGGGATTCCGGTACCACTGGTGGAGACTCATCCCACTAATCCACAGTGAGGGCCCCTGCAGCATCTCCTTTTAATAGTTTTTGTTTAATTGATGACTCTGTCAGTTTCCTAGCCAGCTCCACTGAGCTCTTTTCTCTTCCTGGTTCTGAAATTGTTAAAAGTGTTCCAAGTTATGAGATGATTCCATGTGCTGACACTTCTATTTAAGGTTTTCAGTTCTCATTTTGGTGACAGCCCAAAAAGACATCGATTTTGTATCCTATTGAGGTAATCTTTGTGTTCTCTGTCTCTTCTTAAGTCCTGATTATGTAAAACCAGCTGAGTTTTTTTTTTTATTACAAGAGTTAGGGCTTATTTTAATATATACCTATTTTAAAGCATTTCAGTGATCACTTTATAACAATGATCAAATCTGGTCTGTATTATAATGTTATGATGTTAAGGGATCCTGTTTCTACCAGATATTTTAAACCTTCTTGGCATCTTTGACAAAAAACAAAGTTCCAAAGATACAGTCAAGATGTAAAGTGGTGCTAAATTTTAAGTTATGATACACATGTTCAAAAATTACAAAAGTCTAGTAATCTTATTATGTCATCAGTTATGATGGTTATCTCAGTGAAAAAGGCCTAGAGGCATAAAAGGGATAAATGGTCTATAAAATCCTGCAGATGCTTTTTAAATACTGTGTGAAGTAACAAGTGCCTCTTGTTGGTTAATAAGTTCATAATTTTAAACATGGCTATTTAAAGTGTTTTATAATCCACAGTTTGTGTCCTCCCCCAAAGACTAAAAATCAGATTTACTGCTCATGGAAACTAAAACATTGTTGGTTCTGTGTTTAAATGTGTCCTCTTTTAGTTTCCAAAGACTTTTTCCAGTGACTTCGATCGTATTCAGTAGTTTGGGATGGCTCTGCAAACAGATAAAGCCAAAGTTTAACAGGTTCCAACTGAGAAAATGTATGGTTAATTGAGGTTACTAAGAGCAGGAAGTAATTAAAATTAATTGGTAATTAAAAATAACAGTTAAATATTAAAAAATTTTATTTAATAAATGTGAATTTACAAAGTGCAACTTTTGCATTGTTCTGGCTCCCCACCAACCTCCCTCCCTCCCTCAGCCATCTCATCTCCCACTCCCTCTCCCATCCCACTCTTCATCACGTTTCATTTTCAATTATCTTTATATACAGAAGATCAGCTTAGTAAATACTAACCAAAGATTTCAACAGACTGCACCCACACAACCGCACAAGATATAGAGTACTGTTCGACTAGTAGTGTTATCTTTAACTCTCATAGTAAAACACATTAAGGACAGAGATCCTATATGGAGAGCATGTGCCCAGTGACTCCTGTTGTTGATTTAACAATTAACACTCTTATTTATGACGTCAGTAATCACCGAGGCTCTTGTCATGAGCTGTCGAGGCTATGGAAGCCCCTTGAGTTCACCAACTCTGAACTTGTTTAGTCAAGGCCATATCACAGTGGAGGTTCCTTCCTCCCTTCAGAGAAAGGTGCCTCCTTCTTTGATGGCCTGTTCTTTCTGCTGGGGTCTTGTTCACCGAGATCTTTCATTCAGGTCGTTTTTGCCACAGTGTCTTGGCTTTCCATGCCTGTGAGACTCTCATGGGCCTTTTAGCCAGATCCAAATGCCCCAAGGGTTGATTCTGAGGCTGGAGTGCTGTTTAGGGCAATTGCCATTCTATGAGTCTGCTGTGTGTCCTGCTTCCCCTGCAGGATCATTCTCTCCCTTTTAATTTTATTCTTCATTATTTGCAGACACTGGTCTTATTTGTGAAATCTCTTTGACACTTACCCTATCTTTTTGATCAATTATATACTTAAACTTGTCACTTTAACAAGTGAGATGGCATTGGTACATGCCTCCTTGATAAGATTGAATTGGAATCCCCTGGCACATTTCTAGCTTTACCATTGGAGGTAAGTCCAAGTGAGTATGTGCTGACCTGTATATCTCCTCCCTCTCTTATTCCTACTCTTATATTTAACAGAGATCACTTTTCTGTTAATTTTAACTGCCTAAGAATAATTGTGTATTAATTACAGAGTTCAACCAGTGGTATTAAGTGGAACAAAAAGAACAACAACAACAAAAAATACTAAAAGGAATAAAATGGTAAGTTGTTCTTCAACAGTCAAGACAAGGGCTGATCATGTCAATGTTTCTCATAGTGTCCATTTCACTTCAACGGGTTTCCTTTCAGGTGCTCGGTTAGTTGTCATCGATCAGGGAGAACATATGATCTTTGTCCCTTTTGGACTGGCTTATTTCACTCAGCATGATATTTTCCAGATTCCTCCATTTTGTTGCAAATGACCGGATTTCATTGTTTTTACTGTTGTATTTAAATATTTTTAAAAGGTATTATTGAAACTGCTTTATTGTTCTTTCCTGTAATGTATGTTATGTGTTATATGCGTGCACATATTGTATGTCTACGTGAAAAATTTATTAAGAACTCTATTTTAATTGGATTATAGGTAAAAGATTGCTCATATGATTTTAAACTTCTAAATTAACCCAAAATAGATTTTTCTGTTTACGTGACCTAGATAAATCTCTGTATTAGATATTTTGAATTTGTTGGTAGAAAGAAACTGAAAATGTTTTATTGACATGTTTGTGCTTGGGTTTGCTGGTCAAACAAATTATACTTATGTTAAGTATTTAAGGACATGTTTCAAAATACATGTTATTATTGTCTTAAAATTTATAGAAGGTATTGGACTTTTGGTAAATGTTTTCCTAAGTTGGTTTATTTGACAGTTAAAATTGTTTGCTAAATTTTCACTTGATATTAAGTTATTGACAGTAAGCTATCTGGGAAGTCTGACATATTCCTTCATTTCTCTATTCTTTTCAAGATGGGAAACTGATTCTGTTCAAAAACTCTCCATTAGAATGTACAGTTTGATCTTTAGACCTCATAAAAGGCATGTCTAACATTTTTCTGTAATAATAGCCTGGCCAGATATAGAAGATCAAATAGCATAGCCTGAAGTAGAGCTTATTTATGATTTCACACTAGATATACTTTGCTGTGGGCACAGTAAACAAGCAAAACCTCCCTTTTTCAAACTATGGGGGATTTAAAAAGTTTCACTAATATCTCCAAAATTTATAGGTAAGGTTTTCATCATGTCTGATCTTAAAGTAAGAATATAGGTCTCTTCAGGGTTGTTGTCTTATATCATGGGAAAAACATTGTCAGAACATGTCCATGCCACAGATTTCTGTGACCGCCAAAAATTAGGGATGGGATTAAGCACCCCCTTGGCTTGCATGCTCTTAAAGGCTTCCTCTGTGTTTTACTTTAACAGAAACAAGGAGGGAGAGGAGTGATCTAGGCAGCGGGAACAATGTAAGGTGGCAGGCCAACTAATAGATTTATATGATAATCTGCTATCAAGGAGACCCAACAGGCCAGTCCACCCCAAATGGCAATGGTTTTCAATGTGGAAAGCCAGAAGGACTTTGGTTTCTAAAGAGCCCTGTCAGTTCTGCCAGCCAAGAGTTGGGTCACTGGAAATGGAACTGCTCTGAGGTCAAAGGACTCCCAGGTCAGGGTTGCAGACCTTGTTGTCTCCAAGATGAAAAGCCCTTCACCCGAGGGAGGAGGAAGTTTCTAGCTATAAAGCTCTAAAATGACATCTTAGTTGTTAAAGTGATCATCCTATCATATCCTATAGATAGGATTAAGTGTTAAAGAGACCATATAAATAGCATCAAGTGCCTGGTAATAACAATAGACAGAATTAAAAAGGAGGGAATGTCCAACATGGGAAGCAGTCCACACAGCAGACTCATAAAATGAAAATTACTTTAAGTAACACTCTGACCTCAGAATCAGCCCTTATGGCATTCAAATGTGGCTGAAAAGCCCATGAGAGCAGTGTAGGCGGGAAAGCCAAGACATTGTGGCAAAAATATCCTACATGAAGGATCTCTGTGAATGAGACCCCAGTGGAAAGAAGGGGCCATCAAAAAAGAAGGTCCCTTTCTCTGAAGGGAGGAGAGAACTTCCACTTTGCTTATGGCCCTGTCTAAATACTGAGGGAGTTTGTGGTCACAAAAGGCTTCCATAACCTTGGCGGCTCATGGCAAGAGCCTCAGGTGATCACTGACATCATAAATAAGAGTGTCAATTGCTCCACTTGTAGGACCTCTGTCTTTAATGAGTTGTACTATGAGGATTAATGGTAAAACTTATCTTCAAACAGTACTTTATACTTTGTGTGTCTGTGTGGGTGCGAACTATTGAAATCTTTACTTAGTATAGAGTTGATCTTCTGTATAAAGGTAATTAAAAATGAATCTTAATGAACAATGGGATGGGAGAGGGAGTAAGAGATGGGACGGGAGTGAGGGAGGGGCAGTGGGTATAGGGGAAAAACCACTATATTCCTAAAGTTGTACCTATGAAAATTGTATTCATTAAATAAAAGCTTTAAAAAAAGAAGAAAGGAAGGTTGAAAACAGAGAAAAGGGTCAGAAAACATGTTTCATCAGAGAAACAGGGCACATGCAAAATATTTAGGCATTTGTTAGCATTGTAATTAAAACAATCATGTCTTTGGGAAAAAATGAAGGGATGCAAATTTTCAATTGAGACATGTCTTTGGCAGCAGCAATTGCATAGCAAGTAAGTCTGCATTTTTTTTTTCAAAATTACGAAGCTACATTTCTAGATTGATATGACTTTCCTTTTTCTTATTTTAATCTTTGTTGATTTTACAAACAGTAAATTGTCAGCAGAAAGATACTTGACCTTTCACCTCACTTCAATAAATATTTTCTTGTAAAAAAAAGCCCTTCATTCTGCCCAACTTCCAAAGTAACCACCACTGCTGAGGGGACAGTCTAGGGTCAGTAACATTGCAGACTGAACTGTATATTTCCTTTTAGAGATGCCACCTATCTTCTATTCAGGACAGCTCTCCTCCCAGGCCAGCTAGGTAATGGAAGGGTACCTTCCGTAAGGAGATTCACACGTCCCTTATGTCTCTTCCAGTACCCTATGGCAGGGACCATATTCTGTTGTGTTCGTTACTCCCACTGCTCTCAAAGTTAGAGGTTTGACCCCTTGGATTCATCACACTCCAGTTAAGCTGGCTACACACACCAGCTGGACATTTAATCTGGTTTCAGGAGAGCCATTGAAGCTCGACCTGTCTAAGGACCCCAAGAGGTGACGACAAGATCCACCCCCTCTGGAAAGCTCACCTGACTCAGACAGCAACACCCTGTCCTGTCCACATGGCACAGGCTGGTCAGTCTATGCATGGTGGAAGCTTGAGGAATCTACAGCTTTCACTGCAGCAGTGAATATGGAGGCTAAATGCTTAATCCCTAGCGGAAAGCCTGGAAAACTTAACAAGAGACACCTGGGAATTGGGGTCACAATGTCACCTTATTCCTTAGGGCTGATAATGTTTTTATTGCTGTCTGTAGGTTTTGTGAGGTTGCCCCAAGGGACTGGAGCTGACCACAGATAGTTGCTCTAGCTGTGTTCTACACAGGAGTGGTAAGTCTATTAGAAAAAATCTTTTGTTTCTTATAGTAATCTGTGTTTCACTGATTTCCAGGATGCATGCTAAGGTTACAGTCCAGGGCACATGGATTTTGGAGTTACTCCATCATAATCTGATAAATCCTATTGCTTCAGCCATCTGATCTCAGTATCAATAGTCCAATAGCCTCAATTTTGATGGGTGTGTTCTCCTAGATTTTGACAAACAGCCACTGCTGATAATGATTTACTAATTACAAATTAATACACTAATTACCACCTGCTGGACATGTACCACTGCGGTAGACCCACACCAACTTAGCACAAGAAGTGCACCCAAAAGTGCACATCTGGTTGGGGTTGCGAATCCTGGGTTGTTAAGGCCTCGGGCAGGTTTCAGTGTTGGGTACCTGGTTCTCCTGTTATTGATAGCTGTGGCTGGCCCCTGCATACACAATGCTGTTTTATGAAATCTCCAATTGCCAAAGTCAAGCTCCAACTACTCTTTATGTAGTACTGGCCACTTATGGGACCAGCCCCTAGAAGATGAAGATTTTAGAGTATTCTAAAAGTGCCCTAAAGAAGAGGAGGGGATATTAAAGACTCCTTCCCCCTTGTTATCAAAGGGTCAGGTGGGTCTAAAAAAAGCAATAATGACTAGGCCATAAAGGCTAGTCCCATTCCTAAGATAAGATAGTTGCATGCCTTCTGAAATTGCCTTTAAGTTATAATTCCTGTATCTTAAAACAATCTTACCTTAAAGTTGTGATTTGTTAATCCCTGAGGGCCCAAGATAACAGTGTGCTCCTGGAAACTGCCTTGGTATATTCAGGGTATAAGAGTATGGAAAGACGGCTGGCGCTGCGGCTCAATAGGCTAATCTTCCACCTAGTGGCGCCGGCACACTGGGTTCTAGTCCCGGTCAGGGCGCCGGATTCTTTCCCGGTTGCCCCTCTTCCAGGCCAGCTCTCTGCTGTGGCCTGGGAAGGCAGTGGAGGATGGCCCAAGTGCTTGGGCCCTGCACCCCATGGGAGACCAGGATAAGTACCTGGCTCCTGTCATCAGATCAACGCGGTGTTCCGGTCGCAGCGCGCCAGCCATGGTGGCCATTGGAGCGCGAACCAATGGCAAAAGGAAGACCTTTCTCTCTGTCTCTCTCTCTCACTATCCACTCTGCCTGTCCAAAAAAAAAAAAAAAGTATGGAAAGGCAAAGGATTGGGGCTTGACTTTTAGTCTAGTCAAGCCTGCATACATAAATAAACTGTGCCTTCCCTCCTCCTGAAGCATTAAGTGCCTTTTGGTTTCTGTGGACTTTGTCCCTAACACACAGACAATGATCACCATTCATCCTTTTGACAGGGGAGCTGTGATGTATGTTTCAGTCTTGGGGAGTACCTTGCATAAACTAGGTGCTCAATAAAAATTGTCAAATAAAATACTATTAATGTTTCTGGTATTGATGTATTATGTTTATATATAATTGACATTTGCATAACGTGAGTATAATATCTCAACAGTTTTCTACATTTTCTTTTTCATTTTCATTTTGTTTTCAGTATTTCCCTATATTCTAACAAAGCAATTTGATGGTCTGTTGCCACTTCACTCTGCTAAGTGAATCAAATTTAGCTGATTGGTAACAGAGCCCTGGTCTTTTTAGGTATAAAGCGCTTTCCTTCATTCCATAATAATCTGACTGTGGTTTAAGTGAATAAGAGAAAGCAAAATGTCCTGGGTAGCTGTGCTCTGTCTTTTATTGTTGCTCCACAATTTGATGGGAGTCAGTAGATTGGTTGCCTTTCCACAAAGACCCTGCTCTGGATGACGTCAATTCATAGAACTGAGATTCTGGAAGGCGTCCTGCTATTATTTAGTCCAGTGGGAAAAAGCTAGGCAGGTGAGCTTGCTGCATTGGATTACTGACTTTGGCCATGTAAGGAGGTCTGGGGGGTATAAAGAAGAAAGCAGTAGATGTGAACTTAGGGTCCCAATGAGCAACACACTATTGGAATGAAGACAAGGAGACCAATATGCGTAAAGCAAGCTGGATCTTACTGCAACGGCTTTGGTCTCCCCAAGTCCAGCTAATACTTCTCTGATGATGGTTTCCATGCTTCATATATCCTAAAAGAATTTACATAGTTAATGCAGAAAACATTTCCTTTTAAACAGAATTGTACATAGATCATCTGGATTGCTTTATACCGGCAACTTGTTTATCATATAGACATGGTTGGATGTGGACCTGTAGTTCTTCACTAATCTCTTCCTGTAGGGTCTCCTGGAGGCTTTGGCTAGATCTCAGGAGAACTTCTCTTCTAGTGCCAGCTCCACAAACCTTACTTATTTTATGCTCTTCGTTTGAGCTGGCTGATTCCTCCATTTTAAGAGGAAGGGTCAGGTTAAATTAGTGGGTGGCACGGGGAGGTGGAGTCAGGAAGCAGCATGGCTAAGGAGCCCCGTATCCAGTACAGCCTCTACTCTTTCAGTTCTGAATCAGAATTTTATTTTGGGTGAATGGGATTTTTTTTTCACTTTAACAGAGAGTTTGAAATCCCAGTCTCTCAGAAATAAAAGGAAGATTGGTGAGAAATGAAGTCATACCACTGAATAGGTTGGGCCATCCTTAGAAGTACCATGCACTTAGAACTAATCTCTAAGTAGATAGCTGGGGAGAATGTTTGATCAGTAATGGGGAGTCTGCAGGAGTTGTAATGTCAACACTGCAATCTGACTATTTCTTGAGAGAGGACTTGTGGGGCTGAAGATGTAATCCTAATAACTGTTAAACCATTTCTAAGGGAAGATCAGTGAGGGCAAGTAATCTGCTCCAGTGTAATGGCAACAGTCCCATGAAGTAACTCCTAGGTCATAATTCCAGTTGGTATAGCAACAGTAGTTGCCTAGCAGCACATAAGAGGAGTTTTCCTCTGCAAGTGAACCTCCACATCACTTGATAACAGCAGTGATCAGACACTGGGAGCCATATCTGAAATGATATCGTCTGAAAGGGGTTAAATTACAGAACCTGTAATTGTAATTTCAGGGGAAGAAGATATGACCCTAATTAGGTAAATGTTGAAACGCAGCTGTGAAGCTCTTCCTGTTTTTATTTTTTAAAGATTTTATTTATATAAGTGCAAA